TCACGTGGTTTAGCATGCCCAGATGGAGTGTTGCGAAATGGAAAGGTCATAACATGGCCTCTTCCAGTAGTCTTGACAAAGTCGCCATGTTCATCACAAAAGCTACAGCTATCGTGGCCAACATATGTCATCTGCTCAAGGACACCAGCTCTGGCTGGAAGATCAAAGTGACCAGAAAGAGCCATAACCTTGGATTTCTTCTTTGCTCCATCTGGAAGTGTGACTTCAATTCCTGTTATATCAAAAAGTACAATAATTTTAAACTTCTCCTTTTATGAACAACCCCTTTATACAGACCAAATTCATACCTCAAAGAACTTTCAATCACTGAGTTCCTAAGTTTGTCTTTGGGTGTTATTTCAATAAACAAACTTTTAAAGTCTTAAGTAAAATATTACATGTTATACTAAAGGCACTCTCCAATTAAAAGACTGACCACATGACACATGTTCTGGAGATTCTTTATTTAATTGTTACTTTTTTCAATTTTTTAATTCCTTTGTAAAAACGGCTATTGATGGATGAGTACAGTACCTTTACACAAAAAATTTATTTTATGGAAAAATAAATGAAAATTTAGGTGACTTATCCAAATGTAATTGTTTTTTACTAACCATGCATTTCTGTTTTCCACAAAGTGTCAACAAATGGCTTGAAGAAAGTTGAGAAAAAAGGTTTCTCTTCACCAAACCATAGACCACCAAATATTCTGTACTTGTTAGTTCTCCTGTAAAAGTAACATATCTGGTGTAAGTGCTTAGGTAAGATAGTCCATATACAAGGCAAGTGGCTCATCAGAGCTGGGGCTTATCCTAGTTTATTTTAACATGAACCGACTAGGAGTATTTCTACTCCCCCCTGGATGAGATGCTAGTCGATTGCAGTTTTATCCCCAGGAGTAAATTTTCTGGTAACCATTTATACACCTGAGAAAGGAAGGCACTATGCAAGTATCTGTTCACTTTGCAAGTACTCTATAGTGTACAACTTACATAATTTTATACTGTTAACTACCTACAAGAGCTTGTGACTCCTTAAAGTTAATGTACATGTAACTGCATTCTGACTCATTAATACAACACATTTCATTTGATACATATAACTGAGAATGGATGTTTGAGGGTGAATAATACTGTAATTATTGTTGTCCTTACTTTTTTTAAAATACAGTGTGGTAAATACCGGTATTGGGCCTACATATATTTGTGTACCTTAGTGATGGAGGAAGCTCATTAACGAGGAGAAACAGAGGCCAAACTCCAAATTGTGATGAACGAAATATTGCCACACCATCAGAGTTAAGTTTTACTGAGATGTTATATGGCTCTAGAAGAAATCCACCTGGACCACTCTTGCTTTTGTAAAGGGAACCATCATAGACATCTTCTATATTGTCTTCAGCCCTCTTAACTCGGTGAAATCGGTACTTTAGTCCATCAACAAATTCTGAATCTGAAGAAAAAGAGACCCTTGTATAAAACATAGCTGAACGTTCTTGATGTAGAGGGCATACTAGCATTTTACATTTCCCTGTAATCTATGCTTAAATTGTATTCAGTAACAGCTCATATGCAAAAGAGGCATGCATTAATTTTTGCAGTTCCAGGTTCAAATCCCTGTATCAGAATGCACATGATTTGTGTGAAATCCCCACCTCCCCGGACCCAAAAAACTGTCCATTGATGTCGATTGACCTGCAAATGACGTAGGTGTCCAATTACAGGTATCCGATTTGAAGTATGCAGACATTGGATACCAGTACATGTACAGTACCAACCTGATCATGCACCAATTACATGACAAATAGGCCTCTCCAGAACCAGAATTTTGTTATAGATAATGAAAATAATAACGATATTATGTTATAAATTATGACGACTGTTGGACTGTGGTAGTAGCATTTGAAAATACTTTAATACTGTAACACAATTACATACTTAGTCTTGCACTTACCAGAGAAAAACTTAAGTAGCTGATTTTCAATAGGCACTTCAATGAAGAATCCACCGTTGTTTTGGATGCTTTTGCCACAAATGGTACAGTTTCCTTTGACATCTTTGCCATAATATGCCTTGCAGAAACCACAGAAGTAATCCTTGACAACATTTCCCTTCGCTCTGCTCAGAAATTGGAACAGGTTGTTTACTGTTGTCTTGCAGTTGTTAGGCCGGGGACAGTGAGCCTCTATTACTGCAAGCAAATCATTGAATGCTTCACGTGTAAGCTTGTGCTTAAACACGAAAGATAGCAACAACACAACACTTGAGTTACTTGTGATTGGAGCTCCCGAATATAGCATGTCATCTGATTCTGCTCCACAATGTTCTGGAATGCATTCAGTGTCTATTTCATCAGGGTTCTCACAGTCACTGAAAATGTCCGAGCAAGCATCCTCGTCTTTGACAAATTGTTCAAAAGTGTTAGTATCCGCGGAATCAAACAGTTCAAATTCGTCTCCGCTTATCCCCGAATTATTTTCTTCTTCCACTCCAAATGTGCTTGAATCTTCCATGTCTTGCACTTGAAAATAGCTGCAGTCTTCACCTAAAATCATGCTGTTTGTTTCTGCTTCGAATATTTCAGCAGGATCGCCAGTACAAAGAGGCTGTGCATGTCGCGTGTCGGGAATCATTTCTTCAACATCGCATTTGTTTAAATCATTTCGTGTACCAGTTGATGATTGTTTCGCTTTATAGAGGTTGCCTTTTCGTCTTCTTGCCGCTGGAAATTTGTATGGATTAGAATGACGCATGTATTCTCGGTAGCGACCTCTTTGTTCTCGTGCAACCTTCTCGCCATCGTCGGCCATGTTTGTTGACTTAAAGTCTAGTTCCCGGTCCCCCACACGTGTTGTTATTCAAGTGCGCGTGCGTAGTGGACTTTCGGACTCAACACAAGAACACGTGGTGTTAAATTGACCAATAACGAGAGCCCTTCAGACCCACGCCGAAATGCGCGTCCTTTTCAAATTTTTCACACATTTCGGCAAGCCTTTCTTCAGAGAGTTTGTTACTTATACAGAGCGAGTTTTAAGGTTTGTTTGCCTATTCCCACTGCAAGAAAAGATGGAAAGAAATTCAAGGAAAAGAAGTGCTCCAGCGCGTCTAAGAGAAGGTAAGCAACTCGATTGAATCGTGTTTATGAAAGCACAAAGTGATCGACAAGCATGCATGTTGTCAGATCAGTGAGTAAGTACATGCACCTTAGTTGTTTATAATTTTTGCCAAACTATCAAGTTTATTCAAAAGGATTCACTTGTACTCTTGCATGCTTATAGACCTTGCATATCAAACATTTGAAGACAAAGAAAAGACATTACCTTTACTCACTCTGCANATGAACCACATGTAACGTTCTTTTTATTATTTAGATGTAATCAAAATATTAAGTTACAATCAAAATATTAAGTCACAGGTATCTTACAGTGGCATTCTTTTCAAGGGCTTCGTACGAGTGAGCCTTAACATCCACTGCATCACGTGGTTTAGCATGCCCAGATGGAGTGTTGCGAAATGGAAAGGTCATAACATGGCCTCTTCCAGTAGTCTTGACAACGTCGCCATGTTCATCACAAAAGCTACAGCTATCGTGGCCAACATATGTCATCTGCTCAAGGACACCAGCTCTGGCTGGAAGATCAAAGTGACCAGAAAGAGCCATAACCTTGGATTTCTTCTTTGCTCCATCTGGAAGTGTGACTTCAATTCCTGTTATATCAAAAAGTACAATAATTTTAAACTTCTCCTTTTATGAACAACCCCTTTATACAGACCAAATTCATACCTCAAAGAACTTTCAATCACTGAGTTCCTAAGTTTGTCTTTGGGTGTTATTTCAATAAACAAACTTTTAAAGTCTTAAGTAAAATATTACATGTTATACTAAAGGCACTCTCCAATTAAAAGACTGACCACATGACACATGTTCTGGAGATTCTTTATTTAATTGTTACTTTTTTCAATTTTTTAATTCCTTTGTAAAAACGGCTATTGATGGATGAGTACAGTACCTTTACACAAAAAATTTATTTTATGGAAAAATAAATGAAAATTTAGGTGACTTATCCAAATGTAATTGTTTTTTACTAACCATGCATTTCTGTTTTCCACAAAGTGTCAACAAATGGCTTGAAGAAAGTTGAGAAAAAAGGTTTCTCTTCACCAAACCATAGACCACCAAATATTCTGTACTTGTTAGTTCTCCTGTAAAAGTAACATATCTGGTGTAAGTGCTTAGGTAAGATAGTCCATATACAAGGCAAGTGGCTCATCAGAGCTGGGGCTTATCCTAGTTTATTTTAACATGAACCGACTAGGAGTATTTCTACTCCCCCCTGGATGAGATGCTAGTCGATTGCAGTTTTATCCCCAGGAGTAAATTTTCTGGTAACCATTTATACACCTGAGAAAGGAAGGCACTATGCAAGTATCTGTTCACTTTGCAAGTACTCTATAGTGTACAACTTACATAATTTTATACTGTTAACTACCTACAAGAGCTTGTGACTCCTTAAAGTTAATGTACATGTAACTGCATTCTGACTCATTAATACAACACATTTCATTTGATACATATAACTGAGAATGGATGTTTGAGGGTGAATAATACTGTAATTATTGTTGTCCTTACTTTTTTTAAAATACAGTGTGGTAAATACCGGTATTGGGCCTACATATATTTGTGTACCTTAGTGATGGAGGAAGCTCATTAACGAGGAGAAACAGAGGCCAAACTCCAAATTGTGATGAACGAAATATTGCCACACCATCAGAGTTAAGTTTTACTGAGATGTTATATGGCTCTAGAAGAAATCCACCTGGACCACTCTTGCTTTTGTAAAGGGAACCATCATAGACATCTTCTATATTGTCTTCAGCCCTCTTAACTCGGTGAAATCGGTACTTTAGTCCATCAACAAATTCTGAATCTGAAGAAAAAGAGACCCTTGTATAAAACATAGCTGAACGTTCTTGATGTAGAGGGCATACTAGCATTTTACATTTCCCTGTAATCTATGCTTAAATTGTATTCAGTAACAGCTCATATGCAAAAGAGGCATGCATTAATTTTTGCAGTTCCAGGTTCAAATCCCTGTATCAGAATGCACATGATTTGTGTGAAATCCCCACCTCCCCGGACCCAAAAAACTGTCCATTGATGTCGATTGACCTGCAAATGACGTAGGTGTCCAATTACAGGTATCCGATTTGAAGTATGCAGACATTGGATACCAGTACATGTACAGTACCAACCTGATCATGCACCAATTACATGACAAATAGGCCTCTCCAGAACCAGAATTTTGTTATAGATAATGAAAATAATAACGATATTATGTTATAAATTATGACGACTGTTGGACTGTGGTAGTAGCATTTGAAAATACTTTAATACTGTAACACAATTACATACTTAGTCTTGCACTTACCAGAGAAAAACTTAAGTAGCTGATTTTCAATAGGCACTTCAATGAAGAATCCACCGTTGTTTTGGATGCTTTTGCCACAAATGGTACAGTTTCCTTTGACATCTTTGCCATAATATGCCTTGCAGAAACCACAGAAGTAATCCTTGACAACATTTCCCTTCGCTCTGCTCAGAAATTGGAACAGGTTGTTTACTGTTGTCTTGCAGTTGTTAGGCCGGGGACAGTGAGCCTCTATTACTGCAAGCAAATCATTGAATGCTTCACGTGTAAGCTTGTGCTTAAACACGAAAGATAGCAACAACACAACACTTGAGTTACTTGTGATTGGAGCTCCCGAATATAGCATGTCATCTGATTCTGCTCCACAATGTTCTGGAATGCATTCAGTGTCTATTTCATCAGGGTTCTCACAGTCACTGAAAATGTCCGAGCAAGCATCCTCGTCTTTGACAAATTGTTCAAAAGTGTTAGTATCCGCGGAATCAAACAGTTCAAATTCGTCTCCGCTTATCCCCGAATTATTTTCTTCTTCCACTCCAAATGTGCTTGAATCTTCCATGTCTTGCACTTGAAAATAGCTGCAGTCTTCACCTAAAATCATGCTGTTTGTTTCTGCTTCGAATATTTCAGCAGGATCGCCAGTACAAAGAGGCTGTGCATGTCGCGTGTCGGGAATCATTTCTTCAACATCGCATTTGTTTAAATCATTTCGTGTACCAGTTGATGATTGTTTCGCTTTATAGAGGTTGCCTTTTCGTCTTCTTGCCGCTGGAAATTTGTATGGATTAGAATGACGCATGTATTCTCGGTAGCGACCTCTTTGTTCTCGTGCAACCTTCTCGCCATCGTCGGCCATGTTTGTTGACTTAAAGTCTAGTTCCCGGTCCCCCACACGTGTTGTTATTCAAGTGCGCGTGCGTAGTGGACTTTCGGACTCAACACAAGAACACGTGGTGTTAAATTGACCAATAACGAGAGCCCTTCAGACCCACGCCGAAATGCGCGTCCTTTTCAAATTTTTCACACATTTCGGCAAGCCTTTCTTCAGAGAGTTTGTTACTTATACAGAGCGAGTTTTAAGGTTTGTTTGCCTATTCCCACTGCAAGAAAAGATGGAAAGAAATTCAAGGAAAAGAAGTGCTCCAGCGCGTCTAAGAGAAGGTAAGCAACTCGATTGAATCGTGTTTATGAAAGCACAAAGTGATCGACAAGCATGCATGTTGTCAGATCAGTGAGTAAGTACATGCACCTTAGTTGTTTATAATTTTTGCCAAACTATCAAGTTTATTCAAAAGGATTCACTTGTACTCTTGCATGCTTATAGACCTTGCATATCAAACATTTGAAGACAAAGAAAAGACATTACCTTTACTCACTCTGCACATATCAGTTGCCTAAATTTCCCTGGAACATGTTTAAGTAATGTCTCTAGCCAGAGAGTAATAACAGAAACTACCGGTAAACTGAACTTAAAAGGAAAATTTGAGCCAAAGTTATGAATGGATTTCCCCCCTTGAATAGAACATTTCAATCAGTTCTATTGACTTTGGTGCTCCAGTAATATATTTATTGTATTGCAAATCGGGAAACATTACAACTGACCAAGAAACAAGAGTCCTCTTGTTGCTCCAAAAACTTGCTGCTTCAGACATTAGTCAAAATTCAAAGGGCATAGGGGTATGTACATATGGTTACCGGTCATCTCACCAACAGGAAGTTTCACCACCAACAAACTCAATGCCACTCTGCACATGTTTTAAGAACTAGAAATGCATGGTATTGGTAGTATCTTGGGTTGTTTTCTGGTGGCGAGACTCACTGGTGACAAAGTGACCAGTAACTGTACAGATTGTATTCCCAGAAAGCATCCAAACAGCCTGGCCCCTTAATTAAAAAAGTTTTTTTTATGCCTCTTGCTGCTGACAGTTAATTGTTTGAATTTAAGAAAATTCAAAGGGTTTTAATTTTTGTTACACCTGTAGAACTTTGGTACCTTGTAAAATATGAGGATGATGAAAATTTGAGAGTGCTTGCTGAAGAGGAAGTTCGACACATCTTCCCTGACGACGAAGAAGACAATGAAATGCAAGTTGGGGATATCGTTAATGCTTTGTGGATCCCCAATGGTAAATACTATGATGCCAAGATACTAAACAAAGGGGGTGAGTCAATTTTGATTGTCGCTTATCCAGGTTTAATTTACATGTACTACATGTACAATGCCACCACCGGGCACGGTTTTATCTTACTTATCTTCTCTCTTGTAGTTTCCGCACAGTGCTTGTTGTACCACCAGCCTAAGATGCCTTTCACTCTTGGATGTTTTTAATTTAAATTGACTGTGCGCCACCTGGTCGGCCACTTTGAAATCACTCGCTTAATCTTTGAATTGTCCTCTTCTCAGTTTTTCTACCATTTAAAATGTTGCAAGGCAAAAGGATGAACTGTTTTTTTTTTTTTTCAAAATCTTTCTTTACAGCGGATAAGAACGAGCTTATGAAGGAGAGGATGCAATTAGAAAAAGAAAAGAAGAATGGAAACAAAGGACAGGAGCCCAAAGCACAGAAAAAAAGAAAGCATCCTGAAGGAGACAAGGAAAACCAGAAAAAGAAAAAGAAGCAGGAGTCAACAGAGAGTGCTAAAGAAAAGGAGCAGGCTGTCCAAAACAAGGAAGAGAAAAGGAAGAAGAAAGAACAGGAGCAAGAAAGACAGAAGATGATGCTGGAAGCAAGAAAGGCCCAGGCTATAAGTCGATGGGTTGCTTCTACAACAGCAACTACACACAATGATGAGGTTACAATTGTAAATGATTCACCCAGCGTCACTTTCACACCCCAACCACTTCGCCAAGCCAACTCTTCGAACCAGTCACCAATGACTCCAGCTCGCATCGCTTACACATCAGGCAGAACCCCAAGCACAACTCCTGAGTCAATGCGATCAACCATACAAGAATCTTCAGTAGCCAACCTAACTGTGCCTGGAAGTTCTACTGGTACCAAATCATTCACCAGAACCCCAAACACCAGTGTTATCTCCACTCCAGGATCAGTGCAATCGAAGCAGAGCTCTTCAGCTGCTAACCCAAAGCCAGCTGCTACTAAAACAAAGGGAACCCGTGAGCCCAAGAGAGGTCTTCATTTTCAAAGTGCCATTGCAGACAACAGTGATGATGAAATGGAGGAGGAGGTGGTGGGGGAACAAATCCTTGAGGATGCTGATGCTTTTAGTAGTGACTGCTGTAAAGAACAGAGGATGGAGATAAAAGCGTTAAGGAAGCGGCTGGAGAAAGTGCACAAGAGACTCAACATAGCATGTAAGTTTCCACTTTCTGAGTTTGAAAGCTCCATGTTTTCAGCTACACACCAACACACATGTACATCTACATGTAGGCTATAGTACCATTTGGAGATGATACTCAATAGAATTTAGTGAAGTAAGGAGTTAATTCTGTTTTAAAAACATGAAGTATGATCAGCTTAAACAGAGTGATAACAGCAGATTATTTTCTTTAATACTGAAGTAAAATCAAAGACATCTGCAGAAGTTATAAACAACAGACCAGGAGCTGGAGTAGTGGACAGCACATTGGCTGCTGAATACAAGGTATTACTGACAATATTATATAACGTTATGTTTTTTCATTGAGTTATATTTGCGTGGTGTATTGTTTATTTATTTGTTCGTTAATTAGGCATTCTTCGTACCCATAACTTGATTTTTTTTGTAAGCTGTTTCAGTGCAAACGACCAACAATGAACATGTAGAGGTCACAAACAGACTAAAATATAACTTAGTATACGTTTTTTTTATTTACAGATGGTAGAGGTCATGGAGGGATCCAGTGTCTTCTGGTACCCTCACCAACGGGCCTACTGTTCTGCGTTCAAGTCCTGGTCCGGATATGTCAACGCTGTTGTTGACATATTCTTCACCAAAGAAACACTTGCAATTTCAAGTGCAAGGGGAAGTGATAGAAAAGGCAAAAGCGGTGATGCAAACATTCCGTTGACCCCCCTCATCGTTGATGCCCTTGTTGGTAAGTAGTGCAACACTGAATTATTTTATTCAGAAATAAGTACATAACTTGCAGTCATGGGGATCTCTAACTCACTAATTAGAACTTGAATTGACTGCGTTTTTAAGGCATTGTTGTCCTTAAAAAATAAGCAATTTAATACAAACTTGCATGCAATAATTATGATATAGAATTGAAGCAGAGAGAGTTTTATTTGGACACAAAGTACTGGAATCCCAGTAGTTTCCATTGCAGCCCATTACAATTAACCTGGATTGAAACTTCCACAAAAAATGTATAAAACTGATCTAAAGGTTTTAATCTTACTCCCTTAGCCACAGTAGAGATAATTAAGACACCAGTAAATGAAAAAAAAAATAATGTCACTGAGCTTTCAATTAAGTTATTAATTTTATAAATCAAGCAAACAAAACAGAACCCATTACAATTGATTACCTCCAATCAAGCAATTTTTGTTTCTTGGTAAGGCAACATTCCACGTATAAGTTGGGGTACTGTTTTACATGTAAATATGACTTAATATTAACTTAAACTTTTTTTTTCAGGTAAAGTCTGTTCAAAGTTTTCAAAGGACTCTCCTCAACCGAGCCAAATCATACAGAAGATAAACATGAAATGTGTGGAAGCTAGAAGGCCCCCAAGAGTACGAGAGCAACGAGCAGAATGAACACTTTTTATAATTACTGTAAAACTGTTTAACTTCAAGAGTTTACCAATTTCATTATGTTGACCACAAAGAAAATTTCTGTTTGATAATGTTGACCAAAATACAGAATAACAGTTTCATAGTCTTGGCCAAAAATAACAGTAACCGTATTATAGTGTCGATCAAAAAGAAGAATAACAATTTGACAGAGTTGGCAAGTTAAGTCGTATTGCTTGATAAAAAAAAGTAGTGTTGTTAATGATAGTGTTGAGCGAGAGGAAAACTACCGGTTTCATAGTGTTGACCTAGAAGAAATATAAGATTTTTGGTTTTTTGTTATTTCTATTCAATTTTTTTTGCAAGAAATTTTAGATGCAATTAAAGATATGGTTTCAATGGACGAATATGATGTCACCATTACTTGCCTTTAACCTCACAGTCCCTTTAGTAATTTCTGAATCATATGGTAAAGATATGGGGCTGAAGTCAAAGGACCCCATAGTGTTCCCATATGAGATGTCAGCTTTGCTGAATGCTATGGGAATGATATGGAACTTTAAAATCCCATAGCAATCCCATAGAGAATGGTCCAGGGTCATTATGGGAATGGTATGGGATTGTTGCATACCATTCCCCTAATGGATACTATGGGGAATATATGGAACTTTACGAAATACGTAGCAATCCCATAGAGAATGTTCAGCCATCATATGGCATCACTATGGGACTGACCCATACCATTCCCATACCAGATCCTATGGGGAATGTATGGAACTTTACGAAATACGTAGAAATCCCATAGTGAAAGACAATAGAATGCACTTGGCGGGCACTAGTCACTATTTATGGGTTTGATATGGGAGCTAACATCCCATATAAAAACCATGCAATGCTCATAGATTAGCCATATGTTGTCCCATACCATTTCCATATTTGGACCATATATGTTCCATATCAACAGCTTTGGTAAGGGCAGGTTCAGCAGAGTGTGCTGGAGAGTCACTGATATCTGCTTGGATGTTCTTTGCATAATCCAAACTTCATCGATTTTATTTCATTGAGCATTTCATCTACGCATTTTTGTATGGACAGCCAGGAGTTTTAGCCGTCTTTTTGTGGCTACATGAATTCTTACAGGAACAGGTCCGTGTAAAACGGAGCTTCACATGACGCTTGCGTCCGCCATATTGGATAGAACAGTTTGTTTAGAACTGAAAAAAATGCGGTCATGACAACGTGACGTCATACTTTGCCACTCTATTAAGCACCAAAGTCAGGCATTAGGGTTGATGTTTGATTCAAGCTCAAGAAGTGATATCCAAACATGTCAACTTTTAATAGTCATAAAAATACAGTAGATTCTGTGATTTTTACAGGGGAGGAGAAAGCCCAGTTACTGTGCGGAGACTGCCCGCGTCAAATAACGAAAGATAGACTAAAGCAGTGGCTGTCGTGTCGAAAAGGAATGGCGAAGGATGGAAGTGCGCATTCGGACGCCACAAAGGCCGAACTCGCACAAAGGTAACTTAATTTATGTAAAGACCTCTATTACATATATCTCGGCAACAACTGTAAGCTAAACTTCTTTCAATCAATCAATCAATCAATACTTTATTTACCCACGTAGCGTCAAGGAGCTCATAGAGCTTGTTCAAAATACGTACGTGCCTCTAAGATTAAGAATCTAGAAAACCTAATACATACTTTTCCGTTCTTTTAGGGTCATTGGCTATATTAAGAATGGTTGGGAAAGTAATTTTTACTGAGAAATGGAAGCACTTGGCATCAAAACAACCACACGAATGGATGGTCTCTACGACCACAGCAACAACCACAAACAATGCTGCTTGTATTGTTTCTTCAGACACAATCTGGCTACCAATAACCCAAGCTAAGGATATTGTTCCTAATTTCATAGAGAGGAAAGTCAAAGAAAACGAGTCAAACAAAGATTATAAGAATGTTAGTTCGAAAGCATTTGGTTTGTTTCGACATGGACATATCCAGCAAATAGAAGTCGCTTGTGAGGATGATAAAGTCTACTTTAAGTGTTTTTGCCTACCTGAAATGAAAAAAAGTTTAAGGTACAATGTAAAACTGACTTTATCCAACGATGAAGTGGTGTTTGCTAGTTGCCCTTGCCCAGCTGGTAAAGGTCCTCGTGGATCTTGCATGCATATTGCTGCACTTTGCTATGCCCTGGTGGAATTTGTTAGACTGAAATGTTCTTGAGAATTTGAAACCTGTACTTCAAGACTCCAAACCTGGAATCAGCCTCGAAAAAGTAAACTTCAACCCCAAACAGAAAATGGAATAGATTTTTGGAAGAAAGTGTACAACAGAAAAGAAAGAAAAAAGTGCTAAGCCACTTAATGATCCCAGACGCCCATTTCACAGAACTAATAATGTTCAACAAGCCAACATGGAACTTCTTGAGCTTATTAAGAATGTGAAATCTAACAGTGGGTTCTTTACCTTGCTCTCAAGTGAAAAGGCTCAACAAGAAAAGCCTGAGATAATATCTCCAATCAAGGTGCATCCAGTCTCACTTTATGATATACAGGACAGGGCTAGGAGAATAAAAGACAAACTAATAGTAACTGATCAAGAAAGGGATAAAATAAAACAAACAAAAAAGTTACAAAGTAAATGCCAGGAGTGGTTTGAGCACAGAAGAATAAGAATCACTGCGTCTCAATGCAAAAGAGCACTACTTAAGCCAATTACTAGTCCAACAAAGGCAATAAGAGATATCCTGAACTATAACAATCCATATGCAAGTAAATGCATGACTCAGGGATTGGAAGATGAGGCATCCATACTAAAAATGTATGAGGAGAAACTATGCTGCAAAGCTATGGATTCAGGCTTTGTAATTTCTCAAAGCCATCCTTTCCTAGAGGCCTCACCTGATGGAGAAGTAGATGGGGGACTGGTGGAGATTAAGAGAATATTTTCCAATGGGATTTCACTCGAAGAGGCAGTGCGTAGTCGTTGTATCTGTAAATATTGCAGTGATGGGCTAGTCATCAATCCATCTCACAAATTTTTCTACCAAGTACAGCTACAGATGTTTTGCACTGGGGTGTTTATGGACAGACCTTGTTTTATCACATCTTAAAGAACTGATCATCTTACATGTCAAGAGAAATGATCATTTTTTATCAGATGTCATCCCTAAACTGGAGAAGTTTTTATGATTCACATATAGTTTTAGAGTTAGCATATCCAAGAATCTCTCTTGGGCCTCCCAGATGAAGTAAATTACTTGACAGACAAGTTTAAATTGATATTTTTCACAATTAATGCTACAATATGCCCTGGGATGATAAAAAGTATCATGAAATTGCGGTATCATTGAAACAAGTATTGTAAAATCAAGTTTCCACTGTATGAGGAAAATACTATTATACAGTCTCATTGTAAGAAACACAGTACATTTGAATGAATCAATTCATATCATAAATATTTATTGAGGAAAAATGTTTACAAAATCATTGTCTGCTTACATCATGGCATTAGGAACAAAAGAAATTCCTAGAGTACATAATTACAAATTTCAATATTTTTGTATGGTGAATGCGGTAGAGTGACTGATTATTTTCACTTCACCTTGGAAGAAAATAGAGCACCTAGTTAGTACATGTAAAATTAATATAGAACAAAAGAAAACAATGGATTCAGAGTTTAACCACTGACTATAAGTCTGCATAAATTTTCAAGGTCATATGCAAACAACTTTTTCATCCATCCACTAATGGTGGGAGATAATTTGACAACATAGCACATACAAAAAAAATCATTTCAATAACACCATTTCTACATAAGGTTATAGGTACAAAATCTAAAATGTGATAATTTTTTATTCTCTCAATTGCCCTTTCCACATGGATTCTAAGAGAGGCAATACGTCGAGTTTCCAATAGCTCGTTTTCTGTGAATTGTCCTGACTGGTTCATGAAGGGAGAAAGGTTAACACGGACACCTTTAGATGCTAACATGTCTTTTATGTTAAAACCTCGATCGGCTGTTATTACATCTCCTCTTTCAAGTTTGTCAATTAATCCTGACAGTTGAGTTATCTCTTTGTCTGAAATGCTTCCACCATACAATGTTGAAACAAATGAGATCCCTCCTTTGGGTACAATGCCAACTAGGGCTTTAAGAGTGTTAGTGTTTTTATAAGATGAGAAAGTCAGTTGTTGGGCTTCTGGGTTACGGGGCTTCTCAATATATATCTCAGTAGCATCAAGGAGGAGAGTAGTTGATGAATATTTCTTCAAGAAACATTCGGGCATGTGTATTTTCACAATGTCCTTTGATGGGAAAATGTCTAACTCTTTAAACCTGAAATACATGAACTTGATCCATGTTGTCACTATTTGAGACACTACACTTTGACTAACTCCAAATCTTGTTGTTAAGTCTTCCTCTAGTAACCCAACTTTCAATCTGCACAAAACCATAAAGAATTCATTTTCAATTGATAATACTCCACTTGGTCCGCTTTTATACCTACTTTTCAAATCCTTTAGATCTTCAGT